CCCTACCCCATTAGTGCAACGAGGACGGAGCTATAAGGGAGGTATAGGAGAGCCCCTCTTGAACGATCTTCTGTCTCTCTAGTGACAACCACCCCAGCCTCAGCGCAAGCAGCTGACTGACCCTCGACCCTCACTCACCCCCTCGCGGGCACACCCGCGGGGGCGGGGCGGGGGCGGGGGCGCGATGAGGGCGAGCCCCGCGAGCTGCCAGCGCCGGCCGCTAGGGGCCGCCACCGATTCCGCCGCGACCATAGCCACGGCGAGGCGCTGCGGTCGCGGCGGCGGCCGGCCAAGGAGAAATCGTGAAGGAGCGGACGGCGTGGTGGCGGGGCGTAAGGGAGAGAGAGGTAAGGGGGGTGGGGGGCAGCGCGCCGTCCCGTCCCGCGCCAGCCGAAGCGAGCCGAGCCGAAGGTGTTTAGTCTGCGGCGAGCCTTGGCGGAGCGGCTTCATACCGCTACTACGTGCCGCGCCGTGTGCCAACCTCCGCGAGTGCCCCAGCCAAGTCCAGCCAAGTCGGTGCGCCGCGAGTGTCAGTGTGTCCGTGCAAGAGCCCTGCCTGGATAATCTCCTCCCTCGCCGCTCTGTGCGTGTGTGCGTGTGTGTGTGCGCGTGTGAAACTTTTTGGATTGGATTTCGCGGCTCGCCGTCGTCCTCGCTGCCCTTTCGCAGTCTGACAGGTGAGTTTGAATGATGGGTGCATCGGGTTGGATAGATAGCCGCGCGTTTGGCATCCATGTGTGTGAAATGCGGAAGAGACACAATACTCTGTCCAGGCTAGTCGAAACGGCTCCTTGAAAACCCGCAGAAAACTGACAGAAAACTGTACGGACAGAGGTGGCCTGGCTCTTTACTGCTGCTGCGGTGGCGGTGGTATCGCCAGCATTCCTGCGCACGCCCCTCGCCCCCTCCCCCCTCTCTCTTTCCCCTTCACTTCTCCTGGCTGGCTGGCCGGTCGGGCACTGCCGCCACAGGGCACTCTGCTACAAGCAGCCCATATCTGCACGTCTCAGTTTCTGTCACCCAAGTTTACCGTCTGCGCACCTCTCCTTGTTTTGCGCCTGTATCTGTCTTTTTCTCTCCCCCCCCCCACCAGACATGCATCAGGTGCCCTGATGTGGCTCCGGCCGCCGCCGCCCCATCCCATGATACCTGTTCGAGAAGTGAGGCAAGACTGCCCCCCCCCC